ATTTTCTGGGCAAGTGATTTGCCATAGCCTTTTTCCTAGGGCTAAGAGAAAGTGACTGGCTCATAGTCCCCCTGACGGCTTTATGCCTAAGGCAAGATTAGAACTCACTGTTGCTAGTCTGATGCTATACCAAACTGGGTGTTATTAATCACTACACCAAGTGATATTTGGACAGAAAAGTGCAAGCAAAATATTTATACAGTGGGTGAATAGCACATTATTTATTGATCCAGTTGTTTCTTTGTTTTGTGTCTTCAAGTCAATGTTAACTCCTGGCAACAGCCTAGGCTAATCCCTGCAGTTTTTCTGGCAAGATTTGTCTCCTTTGAGCTGGAGGGAGGGACTGGTCCAAAGTCACCCAGCTCATTTTGTGCCTAAGGCAGGACTAGGACTGATGGTTCACAGTTTTCTAGCCTGCTACCTTAATTGCTATACCAAATTTAGAAGACCCAAATTTATAGAAGTGTTAATGGGATTAGTTTAAAGGGCTTCTTATTTATTAGATTTCTATCAAGTTGAAGGATGAAATAGCCCATCTGATAATACAAATATCAAACTGTCTAAAGTCATGAAAAGGCTCACAAGGTTCAAAGATCAAAGCATGTATGTATGTATGTATGTATGTATGTATATGAATGAAAATGTTTTGCTTCAAAAAAATTTTTACAGGAAGCCAATAGGGTTTTTTTGCTGCCATCTAGTGGTCGCCTGGATTTTTGGAGGGCAAATCTGGTTGCTTAACCAAGACCAGAGTATGAATGCAATTAACATTGCAACTGCCTATTGATATTAGAAGGATCTTATATTTGAAAAGGCTTGGTAAGGACAGTCTCTCCAAAAGATCTGTACTTTGCCTCCTTACTCATTTACATCAAATCCAAAAGCAAGTAGAATCTGAGGGTGGTATTATGACCTCCCATTCTTTTTGATGCAGTGGGATCAGGCAGGTGATACACCATTTCCTCCAGTCTGATATCCTCCTGCTTTGGATTTCTTATAATTTTCTGCCAGCAAAGTGTTTGATTGAAGTCCAGTATGTCAAGAGAGCAGCAGATCGGGAGTGGCTTCTGCAAGTTTCAGGGGCCTCTTCTCTGTGAGTAGCCACAGGAGGACTATGACAGCATATAATCAGAAAGGAAAACATTTCTGATTTCTGGGTGCATAAACGCAATGTAAATAAGTATTTCTCAGCCTTGGCAGCTTGAAGATATTGTGGACTTTGGCTCCAAGAATTCCCCAGTGAGCCCGCTGGCTAGGGAATTCTAGGAATTAAAGCCCACACATCTTCAAGCAGCCAAGGTTGAAAAACACTGCTGTAAACACATACAAGATATTCAAGGTTTCCCAGCTGCAGCTTTGGTTAGGAATAGATTCCATGTAAAAAGGGCATCCTGACCTAAATTAACTGATCATTTGTTCCAGATTACTGATGTTAGAATGCTTATGACCCTGAAAAGTTTGGATCTTTGTCCCAACTGCTACAGCTTCCATGGCTTAGGCCACGAAGCTTACTCCAGGCCTGTGAGATCTAGAATGTGTGTTGCCTGGCAACACTACAGCTATTCCTACATCAATTAGAGACCTGGAGGCGAGGGAAAATACTAGAAGTACCACCCTGTAGCAAATTACATATTAGAAAGCTCTTTTCATTAACTTTCATTTCTATCTCAATCTTTAAATCTCAGAAACTCTCATGGAGGCAGCAGCCACAAAAGATAAGATGGCCGTGCATCCCAATGGCGCAGAAAAGCCAAAATCTTGCAGGGAGAAGTTTCTTCAAGCATGGAATGAAAAGCTGAAACTCCAGCCATGCCCCATATTGTATTCTCAAACACTAGCATCTCAGTCGGAAGTTGATTTTTCTGTCCAGGAAATGCGGACAAGGAACAAGGAGGCCCTGTCAGATTTACCAACAAGGGCCTCATTGCAACCTAATGAAAACGCTGTTTACTATGTGAAAGTAATGCCTCTTCCTCCAGAGCGAATGCACCCAACTCCTGGGGGTGTATGTGTAGGTGAACACTGCCCACAGCAAGATACTGTGGCATCTTGGCATAGCAACCATGATGCTACAGACAAGAAGGTGCCAAGTGGATCCATGACAAGTGTCGAAGAGGAACTCCTACAGATTTGCGTTTCTGATTTACTGATGGAGTCTCCAGCGCGGAAGAGGCCCAGATTGCTGCCACCTCACCGAAAGATGCATGTAGAAGTATGGAAGAAAGAGGCCTCACCCCCATTGCAGGAGCATGCAAGAAATCCAGTCCCGTTGGCATACAATCACCTGGTAGATACCATGTCAATGACCAATCTTGCTGACCTCCCTGAAGTGGAATCTTTTTATCGCAGATTTAATCCTAAATTAAAACAAAGTTGTGATAGGAAGAACAGTCCAATCCAGTCAGGAGCCGACGGCTTTTTGCATGTCAGGAACATAGACGTTTCTACCCCTCAAGAGGCTTTTGGAAAAAATGCCAAGCAACATCAGCAACTGAGCTTGAAGAGAAGTTCTCCCTTACCTGATCTTATGGTGGCAAACATAGAATCCATGAACTCTCAAAATATCCACCTGCCACCAAAGAAACGATACACTCATGGCTGTCTCTAAGAGATCTGTCGCTAAGTTGGCTGCATTTTATGCTAGATATGCCTAAGACCAAAGCTTTTAACAAATCTTCCAAATAATAACTATAAATGAATATATATTAGATATTTTAGTGCTTAGTGTAAGATGTTACTTTTGTATTTTTGAAATAATTTTTTAAAGGATGTAATTGAAATTGTTTTTCACTAATTAATTCTTAGTAAGTTTAGAAATAGGATATTATTTTCTCCCCTTTCCACCTGCCAAAACAAGATACTTCGAAAAACACTTCTGTCTGCAGCATGGCTCCATCAGCAATGAAATTGGATGGTCCATTCTTACATGCTCACAAACAGAAACTATTTCAGAGTGTGAGGGATAGTGTAGAAATATAGACTGTCACTAATTTGTGTACATAAAATGTGACAAAATCAGGTATTTGCCCATTGTGTATGCAATTTTCCCCCAATACTTTTTTCAAATTTGATGTCACTTTATTGGCCAGAAAAAGGATCTTGTATTCTAAAATAAGAACATGTAAATGTCCCTTATATCTGCCTAGTTCTGTACTATTTCATATTTTCAGGCTGTAGTCTCTAGCCCAGGAATTAAATCTGGGAGAGTGAGTACAAATCAGAGGATGTACCCCTGAGATTTTTGGCCTTTTACTGTGTTTCATCTGGGAAACATTGTTTTCTGGAAATAGGAGCAGTGGCACGTATTTTTCACAATGGAAGAAATGAAAATATTTGCCTATGGTTTCCAAGTCCCGTTTCTTTTAAGTTGCTAATCATTAGTTTACAACCTTCAGCTTTGTTATTACTGTATTTAATTTTATTGGGGTTTTTTTAGTAGTTGCAGTCCCTACTCCCTATGCAAGTACCATCATATGGCCTGAAATAGTCCCTGGGGATTCTGGGAAACAAGATAGTATTGGAAAGAAGCAAATTCCATTCTGATTCACTGGGATATAAACGAGAGGAAAGGAAAAACACAATTAGACTTGCAAGGCTGACAGCAGCCCTTTAAAGTAGACAACCTTGAGAAGATGTCACAGGAAGACTACAACTATATTTCTTTGGAATAGGTTATAACAAAGTCTTGAGCAAGACCAGTTGTTAGTGATTTGATGAGGTGTTCATTAAAGTTCATTGGGCCACAGGAAATGGGAATCACCTTGCCCTGTACCTCAGATCGTAGTTTATGCCTCTCAGCTTGGCAAGAATGATTTGTATCATTGTTCAACATGCCAGTATCATTTTCTCTATATCACTGGTGGCAAACATTTTGATCTTCACATGTCAACATTTCAGAAATATCTAACTTGACTCTACTGTCATTTCACATTGCTGTCCCAAAACAAAAGAGACACAATTCTTTACATGTTCATTTATTTTTTAAAAAATCCAATTCTGTGTGATCCCCAGAATCTATATCATACGCTGCTTAATTTCAGGCAATGTCCTCTTTATTCACAAGTCCTTGTGGCCTACCTACACAATGTTTTCATTCTTGAAGTGGCTTTAGAAAATGATCTTCCTTGGCCTCTGCAGCCTCAGAAAATTTTACAAAAGCATGCCCCTTTCCCAAACAATTTTTGGAGGGTCAAGAATAAGAGCCTTGCCTTCTCAGGAGACTTCTGCAACCTTCAAAAATCACAGGATAATGCAGTGAGCGCTTAAAAATAGCTGATGGGTATTGGTGAACACTAGCATGTCGCCCAAAGCATCGTGGCATGTTGCCTTTGACCGACTTGTCCTAGGTTCACCATTACTGTCCTGGAGAAGCACTATTATGTAATCCTTTGTATAGAACTTGGAATTTGGTGGATTAGATTTACTTTCAATGAATTGGAACGGCTCACAATTACATAGAAAAATGTGTTAATGATTGTAATAAAAACTTGTTATATATTTGGCCTACAGCATCTTCTCAAAGTGGGAGGCATGTACTTTGAAATATACGCTATGTGGAGAAATTGCATATATTAAAAAGAATTTTGCAAAACTACTTGTGAAGAAATGGTTTAGATTATTTTAAGTTTAGAGTTAAAAGGATAGCAAAACATGAAAAAAAAACCTCAAGCATTTGGAATTTATATTCTAAACATTTCAGAGACTAAAATTAAGATAGTATCACAAAATGCATCGGCCACAAGAAAAAAATAAGTAAAGGTACTGTTTTATTTCAAGAAAAATTAATGTAGTGTTCATATACAAATCAAGTTAAATTTGATTAGTTTGCTCACTTCTGAACAGCTACAAAAATAATCTACCCAGTCTGCCAAACAATTTAACAGTACTGTAATATGACAAAAACTTCATTGGAGCAGCCACAGGGATTTAAAGTGACATATATTATTTCAATAATTTTTTTTTAAAAAGCACACTTCTAAAATATGCCTCTGTTAAACACCCATTATGATTTTAAAAATGTACAAAAAATAATCTTAGTGGAAACAGTACTCATTCTTAAAAGTCTGCTTCCAAAACAATAATTTTCATAATTTAAAACCCTTCCCAGTACAAATATATATATTTAAAAAGGAAATAAATTGTGCAAACACTTGAAGAATTGCAAAACACAGATCCAGAGGCATAAAAAGGAAGAGGCTAGAGTGGTTCCAGCATCTTCACAAGGCGGATAACTCAAGATAGGTACGAGCTTCAGGTGAGGCACAATGAGGAAAAGGATGCAGCCCTTCAATTTTATCCGAAGCCCTGGCCAGGGGATGCTTCTCAGCCCCGACGATGCTGTACCTACAACAGTAGTGTTATGGCACTCTTTAAATGCCCAAAACTCACAAACGACACGCCAAGGCACAATCATTCTGTTGGAAAGAAAAAAGCAGTTACTGTATAAAAGTTGAAGATACATCATTCAATTTACAACAGTCTTTGCCAACCTGGTGCAATAACCAGATATGATGGATTTAGATTTAGTTGCATGATTTTTAGCTAGTTTATACAGTCAGTTGACTAATGAAACACTGAATTGATTTGATCCAGTGCAGGTACTGCACCACACAAGTAAATAACTGGATATTGTGGTCTCAGCACATCTAAAGGCCAGGCTGTGTATTTAATATCTGTAGATTTTAAAGATCCGTGACAGAAATAATCTATGTATTACTTGCTGGTATTTTCCCCCTAGCTCAAATTCTGTATCAGTGACAACATTTAACTTATTTTTTCTATTTACACAATGGTGTATGATTCATCCAGCAGCTTCTAACTGGCCTGACATAGTAAGAAAATAGTCCCAAAAATGCCAACCCCATCTTTCTAGGGGTTCCTGCTGGAAGTGTTCCACTGTTGCTAGGCCTTTTGGAGAAAAGACCTAACTATTCTTCCCAGAAAAAGAGGGCCAAAAGGCTCTGTTAGTATGTTGGGTTTTGTAGTAAATTCTGGCTAGGTTCCCAGTAGTCTGTCTTAAAGAGAGAAAAAGAATGTAGGAGGAAAACGAGGCATAAATCTCCATTTGAAGAAAAATAAGAGTTGGGGGGACGGGGAATACTGAAAGGTCTTGTTGACAACCATAATGTCAAGAATTGTCATGACAAGGCTGTCTTTGAAGAGCAAAATAGGCTTTAAGAGCAGCCTTTTCTTCTGGACAAAACAAGATTAAGGTTTCCATCAAGATATCAGAACCAAATAACTGGACAAGGAATTTTAAAAAAAAACTCTGTCCTTTGTTGCTGTATATTAGGGCTGTCAAACTCGTAGCCTGTGGGCTGGATGTGTCACACACTGGTCACACCCATGCCTGGTTTAGCGAAGGGGGAAAATGGTGCGATATGTCATGTGACACTGCCGTGATGAAGTTTGACATCCCTGCTGTATATGCTGAGTGCAGCAAGAATTATTTATGGGCAACATACATTAATCCTCACAATGAAAGAATGGATGGAGAAACTGATGGAGCTAGCAGGGATGGCAGAATCAAATGTTTAATTGAAAAATACATAGTTTTGTTGCTACTTGGAAACTACTTCTAGACTGAAGACAGAAAGAAAATATATATGAAATTTTGACTTTGGGATTTGCTGATTAGACAAGTCTGTTAGTCTAATATTCCTAGCATGTTAAATATGTCAAAGAAAAAGTGAGAGTGTATCTTATTTTTATTCTACTGCTCTGAGAAAAGTTGGAGGTTAACACATTTTTCTTCTTTTTCTCTCTACCCTACATTCTCTCTTACCCCTTTTTTCCTTCTCCATTTTTCTACTGTCTTTATTTTAATTTGCATTTATATTATGAAAATTTAATAAACATTTTTTTACAAAAAGATATCAGGACACAATCCAGGCTTTCATTGAAGCAAGGCAAGTTGGTGCCCACATTTTTCTCCACTCTGGTGCAGATTGCAGGGCCACTATGGCTGAAAAGGCAACTAGATATGAGGCCCAGACTGCTGAAATTCTCTCTGGAATAAAGAGAGCTCTGGGGGTGCATATCAGAGGTGGGTTGCTACTGGTTCGCACTGGTTTGGGTGAACTGGTAGTGGAAATTGGGACTGGGTCGCCAAACCAGTAGGGACAGCAGGCTGGCCACGCCCCCGAACCGGTTCCACAATCGCCGCTGCCATTGCCGGCTTGTTTTTCAGTCATTTTTTCATGTTCTGCACATGCGCAGAACAATTTACAGGCAACTGTGCATGCGTGAAGCGATCTGGCATTAACGCCGGCAGCAACCCACCCTTGGTGCACATTATGTTCCTTATTGGGAAGAACAGCGTATAAAGTTTACTAATAAATATATACACCCCAACAGCTGATTTTTGTGTGCAGATGACAGAACTTGCCACATGCAATTAACTGTGAGTTGCAGGTTCCATCCTGTTCTGAACCCTAAATGCAGCCTTTCATGGATTCAAGGCATGACCAAGCCTCATTCTTTTTAATCATTCTGGGGTTTAATTTTTTTAACTGCCTCTTTAAGACTGAAAAACCTTCAGAACTGCAAGCCTATAAAGTTGCTGGCTGAGTTTTTTTTGTTTTTTTAAAATGGAAACTACACCTTTTCAGCTTTGTAAGATTTTTTTTTTATTTTGATAACTTTTTGCAAAATACCACAAAGAAGTGGCTTTAGAGTTGTTTTTAGAGTTTAAATGCTAATGCTTCATGAAACTGGTTTAAAGAAAGACTTTGAAACTAATTAGAAAGATCTTTTCCTGTAGGGAAAGTCTGCTTTGTTTACATTTTTTCCCTGTGAAGCAAGATTTTGAAGGTCTATTACTAAAGCACATGATAGGGAAACATTTGATGTATGGGCATATGAAGAAGTCCTTGAGCTTTTTAACTCTTTACTAGAACTAAACTTTGCTACCGAAAATGAACAAACTCCTTTGAAGACAACAAACTGGACTTCAAGGCAGACTGATTAAAACTTACAAATAAAAAAATGAGATGGAAATGTTGGATCTACAAGTAGAATTGCATGATCATTTAACAATAAAAAAGGACATACAAACAATGTACCCTAAGAGCAATGTAGACTATTCTTTTAAATTGAAATGTGAGAGATTTATTGGAGTTAACTTCATAGAAATTACAAATGGCTTTGGATAAAGATAAGAACTTGAACAGATGAAGCAAAGAGACTATAAGAAAACCGAAAACTGGGCAAGGGACGATGGGTAAAGAGAGAGAGAGAGAGAGAGAGTAAAAGATCTTCCATGAATATATCTCAATAAAAACATGTGTATTAATATTAGAATTATATAGGATATATGTATTAACAGTAGAATTACACGGATCGGAGAATTGGAAATAATAAGAATACATTTATTTTAAACGTTTAAATGATTGTGATTGGCACTAGAAGTGTACATTGAATAATGAAAGAATGAAGGATGAAATTTTAACATAAATCGATGTGAAGATCTAAATAAGGGAATCTAAATAAGGGAAATATGAATAATAAAACAGGTGAAAGATAGGAAATAGAAAAGAAACGTCTTAGAATATTGTATGTATGTATGTATGTATGTATGTATGTATATGTGTGTCTGTATGTGTGTGTGTATGTATAGATAGATAGATAGATAGATAGACAGACAGACAGACAGGCAGATATGAAAGACCAAGAGGGAGGTTTTAAAACTGAAGCAGTAGTAAAAAGTATGTATAAACAACATGAAATAATGAAAATGAAATATAATAACTATGAGTAATATTTGACTATTTGTATTGAAATGTATGATACCCAGGTATCACATCATTCACGCATTGATATGTATAAATAGTATAAAATAAAAAACTTGATGAGAAAAAAAAGAAAGTTGGAGTTAGAATTTTATCTGTGGGACTTAAGGATGGCTGGGAGAAAGAAGGAAAAAATCCTACAAAAATGGTTTATCTGACTGTAGATAAATAATGATTTGTTATCTTTGGTGATATTTCATTGTGAGAAAAATATTCCAGATATTCTATGAACCCCCCAAAAATACTATAACAAAGAAATAAAAGTTAACAAAAAGCTTTATTAACTACTAACATGCGCATGTAGGATTCTCTAGGGAAAGAGAATGATTGCAGGTAGGCAGGTTGCAGGTAGGCATTTTGTAAATACACAAAATGAAATTTCAGGAGTATTATCAGCATACGCCATCAAGCAATTACAGAAATACATTTGTGTGATCGATAACAATGTTGGCAATCATCATGCAACTTGCATGGAAATAACACGTCCCAAAATTTGTTATCTTTGGTGATATTTTATGGTTATCTGGTTTGGAAATCTTCAGTGCTGCAATGGATTCATTTTTAATATTTATGTTATCATTTCTGAATGTGTAAATAAAGGGTTATTTCTGGTAATGTTTAATAGATTTCAATTTTATTCTTTTCTAATGTTTGTTAAGAAGAGGATATAGATCAGGGGTTCCCAACGCCCATGCTCCACAGGGGGGCAATTTGATTTTTAATGGGGGCAATTTGCTTAAAACAAATTAATGGCCTTTTAGGCTTCTTCCACATGAGTAGAGTTCACTTTGTGAGTAAAGTAAGAATTATATGTCATGGGGGGGATTTTAAAGATGCTTAGGTGGGACATAGTCAAAAAAGGTTGGGAACCATTGATATAGACCAGGGGTAGTCAACCTTTTTATATCTACCG